GTTACCTAAGAGAGTTTATGTCCTATATTGCTAAGCCAATATTCAAGGATAAGCAGGTTATTGACGGCTTCATTGAACTTGGAGGTAGACAAGAATCTCTTTCAGTTTACTTCAGTGTCGCTTCTGGCAACTATGAGCTTGCTGCTAGTATAATCAAAGCGGGTGATAATTATTTTGGTCACAATTTTAATCATCTTTTCCATGAAACTTTGAAGGTACACTCATATATTAAGCGTAAACTAATTTCTTTTACTTATATTTTTATATTTTAAATAGTTTAATGGCGAAAAGAAACTTACCAATTACCGAAAGCCTCAGATTCTTAAACGTGCTGCTGATCTTCACGGTCTTACTCCTTTTCATTGTGCTGCTATTAACCGCTCATCAAATTATCTTAAGGAATTCTGTGAAGTCCTCGATGCCGGTGAAATACTCGAGACTGATACATTAAACAGAACCATTGCTCACTTTGCTGCTGTCAGTGAAACTACTGCTTGCTTGGAATATCTCGTTTCTATTAATTATACGTTAACCCAACCAGACAAATATAAGATTACTCCCATTGTTCAAGCTGCTCGTTTTGGTCGTACACATAACGTCGAGTTTCTTATTAAACATTTATCAAAAGATGCTGATGAAATACCTCCCACTCTCTTCGCAACTGCTGCTCGTAACAAACGTAGTCTCTTGCATTTTGCTGCTTTCTTTGGTCATACTGAAACCTGTCGCTTACTCATTAATTTTGGTGCGCCTATCGACCCAGTTGAAAGTATGGAGAAGCAAACGCCATTGCATTATGCTGCTAAAAACGGATTCTTGGACTGTGTTGTTGTTTTAATTGAAGAAGGAAAATGTAATAGTTCTGCTTTAGACAAGTACGGACGAACCGCTTTACATTTGGCTTGCATTTATGGACAGTTCGAAGTTGCCAAGTATTTATTGTCTGCCGGTTTGGATTCAAATGCTCCTGATAGCTCTCAAAACTTACCAATTCACTACGCAGCTGCTTTTGGTTATATTGAAGTTCTACATCTATTGATTCACTTTGGTGGTGCTGACCCTAACAAGATAAATCTTTGGAGAAGTACTGCATGCTCTATTGCTAATATGAAAGGTCATTTATCCATAGTCAAGTATCTATTGGATCTTCCTGGTGATTGTATTGATGTCAATTTTAAAGATCAAGATGGCTTATCTATGCTTCATCACAGTGTCCTTGAGAACGTTACATCCTCTTCTGAAATTGATATGAACATGAGACAAATCAAGCTTCTGTTAAAAATGAATGCAGGTGTTAATAGTATCAACCTTGAAGGTGATACCGTTATGCACTCCTTAGTATCTATCACTACCTACTGTAACTATTACCCAAAGGAATGGCAGCCATACTATCAGGATGATGTAGCAAAGTACAATGGCTACAGGGCAACAGAAACATTGAAAAATGTGGATGAAGATGACATGACTGGTGTAAACTATCATCTTGATATCGGAAGAATGCTTTTGAAAAAAGGTGCTGATATAAATATACTCAACAACCACGGCGAAACATGCTTGTCTGTGGCTATGAAGGCTGAAAACCATTACCTTGTTGCTTTCCTTATTGAAAATGGTGCTGTTTATTGGTCAGATACTGATAGGGATGGGAATAATTTCTTCCATTACTTTGGAAAACTAGCTGCTACTATCGACCAATTCCAGCCTCACCGTGCAGTAGATGTGACTCAAAAAGAACGCTTTATTCAAGCTGCTAATAAGGTCTGGGACGCTGTTCAGAACAGCAACCCTGATATGAAAAAATTACATGAAACTGTAAGTTATATAAAGGTGCATTATAAAGTAACGTTCGTTTAATTAACCAATAAAAAAATTATGTAGATCAACAAATATAACAATAACGGTCGCACACCTATTTTAGATAGTACTTTGAATGTTGTTGATTTCCAAAAGAAGGCCATGGCAAGGGAGAAGAAGCAAATTAAAAGCAAAACTACCTACAGTAGAAATACTTATAGACACAGGTTCGGTAGCTATAACAATGCTGATGAAGAAACTGAGGAATCTATTACACCTGTCAAATTGGTATTTACTACAACATACTGGGTAAGTTATCATGCTCTATTTTAGAAGTGGAGTAGCTCAATTTGGAGGTTTTTCTTTTCTTTTATACATACGCAGGTACACTTCATGGGTTTATTGCTCCAAAAATTTAAACCAAAAATGAATTCCCGTCTTCAACTTCCTAAAGGCTACAAAAAAGCAAATCCCAAGGTTAAACCATCAAATTATCCAAGATTTACTGGTTCATGCGCCATCCATTTTGGTAAGTTTCAATTTGAATTTATTTTATTTGTTTAAAAAAAAAAAAGCTATGTATAGATGCTAATATAATAATCCTGCTTTCAGCTGCTTCGATTCAAAACACTGAAATGATTGAATTCCTTATTCAAAACGGCAGTAATCCCAATCTTCATGTTGAAATTGAAGGCCAAGAATTTGACACTCCCTTGATTATGGCCTATCATCTGAAGCAAGATAAAAACCAGGAGATGGAAAACAATAACTTAACAACAGTGGAAAATATCAAGAAGAAGTATGATTTGACTAAGCCAGACTTTGAACAGATGATGCAGGATTCTATTACTGTTTTTCTCAACAATAATGCTGATCCTTTCGAAATCAACAATGTTGGTGTATCTTCAATAATGAAAGCAGCCAAAAACTTGGATTTGAACATGATTCACAAAATGTGCCAGGTTCAACAAGTTGGAAAATACAGTATCAACACACCCAATGAAACTGACGAAACTGCACTCATGATGGTTGTCGATGCTATTAGAAGCCGAAAGGAACTCAAGGTGGCAAAAGATACTGAAATCATTACTTTGCTCTTAAAGGCTGGCGCTGACATCAACAAACAATTTGAAAATGGCGATACCATTCTTTTAAAAATCATTCGTTTGGGCAATACTCATCTCTTGAATGCTGTCTTAAACTCTGCAGTGGTTCCAATCAAACATGAAGTTCAGAACAAATGTAAGTTTGTTTAAATAACAATTAGGAAAAATTATATATTTAAATTATATATTTAAATTATATTTTTATTTTAGTGAAAGAAAACGCCCTAATTATGGTCGCCCGATTAAACAATAAGGAAATGATCCAAAGTTATGTCTCATGCTTGTCCAAAAACAAGTCTACTTATGAACAAATTATCAATGATGTTAACATGAAAGGTCGTTCCGCTCTTTCTTATGTTTCACTTAATGGTGATGCCGAAACACTCCAAACCTTCATGGCCCTAAATCCTAATCCAAATCAACATGACATTAACAATATCCCTTTGATCGACTCTATTCAAAGTAAGAATATCGAGGTGGTAGAAATCCTTTTGAAATCTGGCGCACTTGTGAATACGCAAAATGCAGATGGAAATACGGCATTGCATATGGCAGCTGCTTCAAGTAAACACACTATGGTTAAACTGCTTTTGGACTATAATGTCGACTGTCATATCGTCAACAAGAAAAATCAAACACCGTTGCACCTTGCCATTGATGCTACCAAAAAGCAAACCAACAGATCATTCAAAACAGAACGCTTATTGCTTGAAGCCGGTGCAGACATTAATGCAAAAGACATGTTTGGTAAGTACTCAATATGTCCAAAAAAAAAAGTAAATTATACTAACAGTCAAAAATCAAAATAGGTCGTACACCTTTCCACTACGTTTTTACTGACATGAATACCATCCCTATTACCCAAGATACAACCGTCATTGCCAAGAAGGTCAAGCAAATCACAAAGGAAATAGAAGAAGAGAAGCAGAAGGAGGATACTTTGACCAAATATGTTGATCATCTTGACCTGAATCCCAAATTCTACGCAAATAAATGGCTACTTAAAGCAAGAACTACCCAATATGATGACTCGATTCAAAAGAAGAAGTCCGAATCCAAAAAAGATGATGATGAAATCCAAATGACCTCAGAAGAAAAATCGGTAATCCGTACCTATGTCGGCTATAAATGGGAACTTGCTGAAGACTCTTTTAACCATTTCGATCCTGTTGATATGGTAAAATACCTCTCGTCTTTTGGAAGTATAAATTACAGCGTTAAGGATGACTTTGGGAGAACACCACTTCATTATGCTGCTTGTGTTGGTGCTTTCACCTGTACATCTTTTATACTTAAAAAAGGTGTTGATATTAATGATGTTGATACAGATGGGGTAAGATTGTTTATTTTTTAATGAAAGAGATGATACCAATATATTAAAAAACAAAAAAAATTATAATAGAATGGTGCATTGCAACTTGCACTAAGAAGTGGCCATGTAGACTATTCAGGAATGCTTTGTGATGCTGGCAGTATTGTGGATAAGAAAGTTGTTTTGAAGAATGGTAAAGAATCTACTACCTTTGGTCATGCTCTTTCATTATCCCTCATCAACATTGCTTATCTTATCATGGAGAGAGGCGTAGTTATAGTTGGTAAGTTTTTTAAAAAAAAAATCGTAGTGACAATCTATCTTATTATCTTCTCTTTTGACTTCTTTAATGTAGAGGCTATACATGATGCGTTGAAAAATGGTAAGATTAAAAAAAAACATCTCTCTAAATAGCAATAACAAACTAAATATACATAAATATATTATAGGTAAATTCCACATGGTTGAACTTTTATTAGAGTCTGCAGATGACTCCAAACTCAAGGAAAATTTAGCCGAAAATGATAAAAACATGTGGCATATTATTTCAGACTTTAAACCTTTTGACAGGTATTGTATAAAAATAAATGGAAAAAAAAAGTGAATTACGAGAGTTGACTAAACATTCTATATAATTCTATTAGTGAAATATGGGGTGAATACCTTCCAAGTATTATCCAGCGCATTGAATCCTTGAATCTTGACCTTTGCCTTGATAACTTCAACAGAAGTCCAATCCATTATGCAGCAAAACATAATCAAGTCAAGCTTTTGAAGTATTCGATTATAGTTATTGCTCGAAGCTGGATCTACAGTTGATACAAACAGTAGTCCTGATAAAGAATCTATCTTGCTAAAGGCCGTCAAAAGATCGCACTATCAATCTGTAGAGTTGCTCTTAAAATTTGGTGCCAAAACAGATGACGATAGCTCCTTTGGTCGTGCAAACGCTGTCATGGAAGCATGTGTGAAGAATGATCTTAATATGATGAAGATTTTAGTACAAGCATCTGCTAATCTAAACACACCTAGTTGTATCGAGCGTACTGATGAAAACGGTAAATACAAAGTGACACTTCACCCAGTATTCGTAGCATTACCAAAGGACGAACTTTTCGAGGTATGTTTATTGTTTTGCTGATCACATTCGCTTTTTCTTGTATTAATATGTGTACAGTTTATGGTAAAATCCAACGTTGACCTTGACGTGATCGGCCCAGCATCTAAACCTGAACTCGCAAAACCATTATTCATGTTCGCTGTTTACACAAACAACACAAAAGCACAAGAGGTAAAATACATTCGACTTGCAAAGTCTCTTCGTTTTTTATTATTATTTACTAATATCAAAAATTTTCTCTTTATATAGCTCATGTTGAATAGAAATATCGACTTGAATTTAGGCGATGCTGATGATACACGTACCATCTTTTATGAAGCTTTCTTCTCCCATATGAAGTTTGGCACCAACGACAACAAAATGACCTTTGGACCTAATGTTTATGAGCAAATGATTCATTCTTATAGACCAAATGTAAACTTTGTCGACACAATACTCAATATGACACCACTTGAAGGTGCAATTAGACAAAGAAAAATAGCTGTTGTTGAGGTAAATATTTTTTTTTCAGATGTCTTTTAAATATATATAAATAATGGTACAATTAGCTAATGATATTATTTATTTTTTTTAAAAAAAAAATAGCACCTTCTTCAACTTGATGCCAACCCTAATCTTGAAAGCAACGGCCCCGAATCCCACTTTTTGAATCCAGAAGGTGAGGAATTGCCTGCCTTCATTCATGCTGCCTTGGAAAATGATGAAAAAATGTTCGAAATGCTTGTTGAAAGGTCACGTTATCAAATAAATTGGCTTTGGAAGGACACCAAAAACAGAAATATCCTCTCTTATATTTTGGGTGGATTAAATGGTTACAGCCAGCAGAGCATTGATATGTTGAACTATATTTGCAAGGAAGCTCCGTCGGAATTCAGAAAGCTTGCAGCGATGACGGATGATACAGGTTAGAAACTATATTAGATATGCTAAAGGATTTTTTGGGAAACTGATATCATTTCTAGGTAAAAATCCCATCATATATGCCAAAGCTACACAAAACAACGCACTCTATCAGGTTTTTGTAAAGGCGCTTCCTAGAAGCATGACAGATGATATCGACATCGATTCCCAAGATATGGAAACAGAAGATGTCTCAAATATGGATATTGATTTCATTTCCTCCCTTGTTGTGGAAGAAGATGCAAACAAGGAGCGTGCTATTCTCCAGGAATCCAAAGATGCTAAACGTCTTGCTAAGAATAAGCATGCTAATAAGAACAAGGAAAAAAAAGCTGTTGTTGATCCCTACTCAAATTTGGAAAAAGTGGGTGTCATTGCAGTAGATGAAGATGGATCTGAACTTGATATCATGCTTTTGAAAGCCGAATTCTCATACCATGTTGATTGCTCGTAAGTTTATTATACATTACAACTTTTGTCACTATTTTTCGTATACTAACAATTATTTTAAGCTTCTACAAGCTGAGTGTCATTTATAACAAGGTACTTGATGTCTATATTTTATGGACTCGATGGGGTTCTTTGGGAGAAGAGGGTATGCATCAACGTACACCATACCTGACCAAGGAAGAGGCTGCTGCAGAATTCAAGTCCATCTTCAAATCAAAGACCAGCAATCATTGGGAGAAGCGCCACATCGATTTTGAACGTATTCCAGGACGCTATGATATCCTAAAGACATTCACTCATCCCAAGGACTCCATTATCAAGAAGTTTGATTTTAACTCCACGAATGTGCCCTCCCAGCTCTCTAGCAGTAACTTGAATCTGATGAAATTGATTTGCAACTTTGAATATCTTTCTACAGTCTACAACAATGTTCATATTGATATGCCATTTGGTCAAATTCCTTACAAAACCATCAAGGAAGCTCAAGATATTTTGAACAAAATTCTTGAGATTACTGACAAACTCCCTTCGTATAATGCTTATTATGGTGACAAAACCAAAAGGCTGGAAATGATTAGTAAGTTTATCTTTATATACATAGTTAAAAAAAAAAAAAAAATCAAATACTAAAACATATATTATTACCTGTTATAGACCTGAAAAATCAAGTTGCTCAGTTAACTATTGACTACCATCGTTTGCTACCATACAAGGCAACCCTTGATAAATCCGTCCTCGAAACAAGACGTATGGATTCCTTCAAAAAACAGCTCAACAGAATAAATGATCTTAGCTATGTAGGATTTGCCGTCAATGTGGTACTCGCTGCTAAACATCACTCCAAGGAAATTCATCCATTGGACTATGCCTACAAGTCTCTTGAATGTTCCTTGGCTCCCATTGCCCAGGAATCTACCGAGTTTAGTATGATTAATGAATATATGAATACAACTTCCAACAGAAGCCATGAACTTGTCAGTGTCTTTGGTGTCAACCGAGAAGAAGAAAGCTTGAATTTCCGTCAACACGAAAATGATGTCAATCGTAAACTTCTTTGGCATGGTTCCAGAATTGGTAATATTATGGGTATTCTTAAACAAGGACTCCGCGCTGCACCTTCAACAGCAGCAAATAATGTAAGAATTCAGAAAGTATGATGTTTATATAGCTTATTTACCCCCCCTTTTTTTTTTACATAGGGTGCCATGTTGGGAAGTGGTATTTACTTTGCCGATGCCTTTGCTAAATCTGTCAACTACTCGGTCAATTACGCTAAAAGCTACGGCTCTTTCTATAAAGTCATGTTTGTCTGTGAAGTCGCGCTTGGTACATCCCATATCTATAAGAATACATCCAACATAGAAGAAATTATCAAGGAAGACTCTGTAAAAGCCGAAGGTATGAACAGCCCCAGTCCAGATTGTGCCGTCATCGACAAACACGGTGTTATGGTCCCTATGGGTCCCTTAGAAAGAAGAGAAGCCGACCAATTCCCAGAATCCGTCTTGCTTAATCATAGTGAGTTCTGTGTCTATGATAAGTCTCGCGTCAAGATCAGATACTTGGTTGTTGTCAAGGAAAAGGATCAGTGCTCGTTGTGCTACACTACCAACAAGAATGTCAAGGTCTTAGGCGAACATAATGTCAAAAACTTTGAGTTTAAGGGTTTCAATAATTATGAGGCGGAGGTAGCCAAGAGTTATCTGTCTCATGAGGGTAAATCTATCAAGGATATTTATGATGAAGACTTGAGTGCGTTTTTGGACCATGGTCTTTACAGTAAGTATTTTTTTTTAAAAAAAAAAAAAAACATCCATACAAGCATACTTAGCTCTCTCTTTATTATTAGAAAACAAATGGAAGACCCCCATTGATATCAATGCCAACTATAGAATCTGCACAAACTGCTCATACGCGATCGCTACCTCCATGTTGGTTAATAGAATTAAATCTAGTGAACATAACCAGTCCATACCTCGTAAGTTTTTCTTTTAATATATTTACGTTGTCTCTATGTTGAATGGTGATGCTAAATCCATTTGTTTATATAATAGATTCGATTATCGGCAGAAATCCTTGTAAATATGGAAAGGAATGTAAAAATCAAAATACCCTCGGTCATGCCAAGAAGTATGCTCACTGGTTCAATGATCCAATTAAAAAAAAGAATTTGCTGGAAGAAGGCGATATGGATACCGACGAAGATGTTGAAATGAGCCAAAGTGATGAGAATAACGATGAAACCGAGTACGAAACCGAGGAAGAAACCGAGGACGAAAGTGATGTGGACGGATTTGATGATCTCTTTTAAACACTTTATTATGCTAAAACTACTATGTATTATTTTTTTTTAAAAAACATTTTTCAATAAACAAACATTTATTTTTCATGAACAAAAAAGTCTTCATCTCATTTATGTGCTAATTAATTCATGTTACTTAATGTTCTATCGTATGTATTGAAGTTGTTCTTGGATTTTAGTAGTGTTAATTGTTTCCAGTCTGGTTATTTATTGTTGCATCAAGCATTTTTTGAAGTCTGTCCCACGCTAACGGAGGAAGCGGCAAGGATATTGCTGTAGCGTCAAAAATAACGTCATGTTCAAAAGCCATCTGGTAAAAGGTCAATAAAATGTCCTATGAATATGCACTTGTACTTCGCATACATTTCGTGTTATACAAACCTTTAAGAAGTAATTATAATTACAACGGCAAAGAGAGAAGAACCTTGTTGCTTTTTTTTAGTGTTAAAAAAAAACAACCTTGAAAGTGAATAAGCAAACAAAGTAACATTGAAGCTAAACTAATGAAAAAAAAAAAAAAAACTTTAATCTAAGTCCTGTGAAAATGACCGAAATCTTCTTTTTTTGGCACTAGCGAATACTTTTTTCTCAGTGCACTGATATTCCATTGTCCACGCCTATTCTCTCTCTAAATCAAGTTTTTACGCGATTTAAAACCCAGTTTTTTTTTCTCTGATGACGACGGAATTGGATTTCACTATTTTTTTCATTTTCCCTTTTTTTTTTTTTTTTTTTTTCCTCTTCCTCTTTTTTACTTTATAAAGATTGAGAGAAATAGAAAGAGATGTCTTCTGCAAGTACAGTTTATGTTGGTAATCTCGACCAAAGGTAAAGCATAACATAACGGAAAAGAAGGCAACAGTGTTTACAGATGAGATTATTCTTTTTTTATTACGTTTTAGGGTCAATGATGCCATGCTCCTTGAATTCTTCTCTCCTTTAGGTTCGATCGCTAATATTAAGATTGTAGCTGTAAGTAAATAATAAGAATAAACGCGTTTAATGATATTATGAATGTTTACTAATGGCTTATTATGATAATAGATGCACAGACAGGGACCCTTTGTATGTTGACGTTTTTGTTGTTGTTGTTGCTGTTATTTTGTTAACCTTTCTTCTAAAAAAAATTTTTTATAGCCCAGTGTGAATTATGGTTTTGTAGAATTTGTTGAGCTTCCCTCTGCTGAAAGAGCCATTCTTGAAATGAACGGTAGTAAGCTTTTGGATTATGTAAGTTATCATCAATCCTTCTTTTATGTTTACATACAACTAAAACGGTAGGATTTTGTAGGAAATCAAAGTAAACTGGGCCCAACAGAATCAGCAAGTTGCTTCTGCTCCCAAGGAAGAAACTCCTAACCAACATCAAATCTTTGTCGGTGACATCGCTCCCGAAGTCACCGATGAGATCTTGGCTGAAGCCTTCTCTCCCTTTGGTACCATTGTGTAAGTTTGCCTGGTTTTTAACTTTTAAATAATTCATATCATTAACACTATTTCAAGTAATGCTCATGTGATGAAGGATACTATGTCTGGTAACTCGAGAGGTTTTGGTTTTGTTGCTTTCCGTGAAAAGGCAGAGGCCGATCAGGCTATTGCATCAATGAATGGTGAAATGTTGGGTTCACGCGTGATTCGTGTCAACTGGGCTACCCAAAAGGGACAAAATGATACTCCTCCTCCTCGTCCTGGCCAGCAGCTTCCTTATGAGACTGTTGTTCAGCAAACACCAAACTATGTTACCAGTGTTTATGTTGGTAACTTGCCTCCTAACACTAGTGGTAAGTAAATATGTTGTTGTTATTTGACAATTTATGATATTTATTCATTTCTGATCCATTAGATACCGAGTTGGTTCAGGCTTTCCAAAGATTTGGTTTTATTCAAGAAATCAAGTTACAATCTGACAGAGGATTTGCATTTGTCAAGTACGTAAAGATAAAGAGAGACATAATTCATTTACTCAACTGCTTATAATTAGGTTTGATACACATCAAAATGCAGCCAATGCTATTGTCCACTTACAAGGTATGAACGTTGCTGGTCGTGAAGCCAAGGTAAGTCATTATTGCTATTACTGTACTTTGTAATATGTAACTTACATTTTGCTGTTAAGTTGTCTTGGGGTAAGGATCGTGCACCGAATAACTATGCATTCAACAATGGTGGTCAACCACAACAACGCTTTCAAAACACCAACTGGCGCCAGGGCAGAGATTAAAGGAGAAAGAAAGAAAGAAAGAAAAAAAAAAAGCGTGTTTTTTAATTCTATTTTGTAAGAAAAATATATTTTATCTACATTCTGTTTTATAGTTTGAACCTTTTTACATCATTCCTTATCAATAAATCAATAATCCGTTTAATAACTAGTATTATTCATTTTATATATTTGAATTGGGTAAAAGGGATCAGTCATCGATTAAAAAAAAATCATTTGTAAAGTTTATTATGAATTCAATTAAATGACAAAACTGCTCTATTAGTAAATTGAATTGATCTTGGTGTTTTGTATACAGATATAGTGTGTGTGTGTCTGTGTGGCGGTGTGACCATATCTGACGTGGTTTTTAATTACGTGTTTTAATATTAAATGATATAAATTCCTCTGGAGTATGTACAAACTTAGTATTTGAATAACTAATGACTGGTAATTGTGATACTGAAGGATAGTCTAATATTTTGATATTGAAACTATACCAAATGTTTCATTTGTTTGTCGATATTCTAAAGTGTTGTCTAAACTGTTTGGTGGATTCAACAAAAGGTTCCAAAAATATTATATTATTGTCCTTTCCCATTCTTCTATAGCTTTCCATAATATGAATAAACGATGGTCTTATGCTTTGAGTTAAAGCCTGTATAAACAAGAAAAATTAAAATATCGTTGATCTTGCCCATATGTTTGGCTATTTTGAATGAATAGTCTTCTTTCATAAACAATGTCATTTAAGAGCGATGTAAGCTAATCCATAAATTTTCTAAACATTTTGACATAAGTGCCATATATGACTCACAAAGAATACAAGATAACCAGTGCCAGTTATATCCATACGTCGTACGTCATAATTTAGAATATGTACGTTATATAAATGGCATTTGATTCCTTAGGTTATGCAGTTTAATATCTGATCAGATACACTATGAGAATAACATTTAATTATTTACGTTCTATTTATTATGATTAGGCTTTCTTGAGAAGGATCAAAACGACACTTTTCAAATGTCGAAACTTCAACAGTCAATTCAAAAAGTCTCTTAGACATGATCGTACCACCTCTCGCATCTCAGTCAAATCATGTGATCATATTTTGGCACCAAAATATCATTTGCGTTAATAATAAAAAAAAAAAAAACCTTTTTTTTTCTTGATTGCTAAACAACTTTTAATCAATATAGAATGTCATCACGTACAGTAAAATCAATGGAAGGGATCAGTCTCATTAAAGTACAAAAACGTACCTATCGTGTACCCACTTTATCTCTTCAAACATCAGCTGTGCCCACTACTAATAAAGGTAAACCGTTCAAGTTCCTATTTCTATGGTAGTTTCAAAAAGAGCTAACAAACCAGCACACAGTAAACCCTAGCATAAGCGAAAACAGTCATAGCAGTGATGAAGAAAATGTAATATCTCAGGATATTGTAACAGATTACTATACAGTAAATAAATCCTACCACGGTCTATTAATAGGTATTAAAAGCATGAAAATAATAGTGTTTAAACATGCACTGAATATATAAAGCAATAAAAAGGGAAAGGAGGTAGTACATTAAAACGATTAAAAGTGGAGACTGGAACACGTATCGATGTTGTCAAAGGATCTGATCAAGTCATGATCAAAGGCAATGGTGAAAAGATTGAACTGGCCAAAAAAGCAATCGAGAGAACGATCCAGCAAGCTCTTGATCATGCGCGACCTACCCACTTTTTAGCACTGCCTATCAAATCGATCCAAAATCGCAAAATGGAAGACTTTCAAAAATCCATCCTCTCAAACACCTTCCAATGCCGTGGGATGGATCCTTCTATTGTTGTATCTCCAGCCAATCTACACATCACTTTGGGTGTAATGAAACTACTGGGCCAATCAGAGCTTGAAAGAGCCATAAAGTATATGAAGGAGGAATGTCCACCAATTATCGAAAGTATACTGCAGGAAAAGAAATTAACTATTCGATTAAAGAAGCTAGAGATTATGCAAAAGAACCCTGGTAACTATTAAAAGATAGCAAGAAGAAATGGCACTCATATTCACTTTTGAGCAGCCGAAGCACATGTACTCTATATTACACCTCAAGATGAATCACAAAACAAAGTACTTTTAGAATTATGCAAAGCATTGAATGATAAGATGATTGAAGGTGGATTTATGCAAAAGGAAGATAGACCTTTAAAGGTAGAACAAGGATAATACATTCTATATATATATATATACTCTAGACTTATTCATCTATTATCACTTCTAGTTGCATGCTACATTAATTAATACAAGTAATAGATCGAATAAATCAGATGAAAGGCAAACATTTGATGCACGACCTATCCTTAAGGAATTTAAGAATCTTGACTTTGGATTGGCTCATTTGGATAAATTACACATTATGAAGATGGGACGAACTGGACCAAACAAAACTTACCAAACAGAAGGTGCCATATCACTTTAAATAACAAAAAAAAAAAAAGAGGATATACATACTACATATTTATTATATAGAAATATAAAAGAAATGGGGTAAAGTGGTGGTTGTATTAAGTACATGTCGGTGAAATAGAGTGATAAAACATAATAAAATAAAATATGATGATAATAATACTAAATAATAAGAAAAGGAGTTAAAAGGGAGGGGGAGGAAAGAAAAGAGCGGGAAGATTAACCGTCTCTTCGATAAGCATGACTAGCCATATGTGGTTGCATTCCCGATAAGTCCAATGGATGGCCAGAAGGTGGTAACATTGTGTTGGTCTGCTGATTACCACTACCACCCATCCTGACACGATAAACATCCAACATTGCTTCCAGTTCCTGAATACGTTGCTGGTGCTGTCTTAGTTTTTCATGCATTAT